TGCTGGGCTCCGGCGATCCTTTCGCCTCAGCCTTCCAAGTAACTGGAATTACAGGCATGCGCTACCACGCCGGGCTGATTTTTTGATTTATTGTAGAGATGAGGTCTCGCCTGACCAGGCGGGTCTCGAACCCGAGGGCTCAGGCAATCCACTCACCTCAGCCTCCCAAAGGGGCAGGATTACAGGCTGAGCCACTGAGCCCGGCTAAGACCTTTATTTTTAATTATTCAAATTCTATTTTAATTCTGAATTTGAGAAAGTAGAGCAGCCATTCATGATACTTCATATTTACATATAGTCTTCAAAAGTACAAAAAAAGATTGTACTTTTAAATAAAGTTTATTAAAGAAAGGAGAGAGAAAAGACAGGGTGACGTGCCAAAGCTGGCACAGGTGAAAGAAACCGCCCATATGTTCTCATTCATATGTGGGAGATTTAAAAAATGGATCTCATGGAGGTGGATAGTTGATTGCTGGTTACCAGAGGTCATGAAAGATAGGTGGAGGAGGGGATGAAAAGATGTGGATTAATGGGGTATGAAAATACAGTTAAAAAGATTAAGACTATATAGAGTGACTGTAGTTAAGAATAATTTGTTTTGTAGTTCAAAACAGCTGAAGGAGAAAAACTGGAATGCTGCCAACATAAGGAAGGGTGAATATGTGTAGTAATGAATATCCCATTTGCCCTGGTTTGATTGCTTACATATTGTATGCATGTATCAAAATATTGCATGTACCCCAAAAATATATTCAATAATGATGTATCAATTTAAAAAGTAGGCAGAATATGTTATCTCATCAATTAGCTAGTTGAATATAAACTTTAGAAAAAGAGTTGAGAACGCAGAGCCTAATATATTTACTATTTGGTTCTTAACAGAAGTTTGCCAACATCAAGGATAGGGTAATAGTCACTGGTCATTGCTGTAATTCCAGCTCCATCCTGTACCTTATGATTTTCATCTATAAACTGAAGTCCAAGGCAGTACCTGCTTCCTAAGGTTTTTGAAGATGACTTTATTAAATCAATGTACACTTAGCTCTGCATCAGGCACAGAGTGGGTGACCTTTAAGTGCCAACTATATTGATGATGATGATGACGATATATTCATGAGGTAGGATTTTGAAACCAAGGGCTAACCACCAAACTTGCCTCACTTGTTTTCAGTCATTTGCTTTTAGTTGATTAAAAAATCCATATAGCTCAACATTACAGAGCTAAGCAATATATATCAGTATTCCCACTAGGTTCCTTCCAGATAATCTCACTATAGCTATGGTTGCTTAAGTTGTTTTTCGAGAACTTGGGATCAGCTCTTGTCTAGTTCATACAAGTTGAGATCACCTCTTCAACTGGGCCTGCATGAGTGTCAGATAGGTGAATTTTGACATCAGAGGGCAAAAGCTCCACCTGCAGTTCATGCTAACTGTATCATTTTCTGAACATAAGTCCTATGAAGAGCCATGGAATCTGACCACACTTGCACAGATTGCTGATTACCTCACTTCTCCTTACCTCCAATCACCTTTTCCCACACCTTAGAACATCCTGCTTATTTATCCCATAAATATCCCTAAATCCCATCTTTGAGGACGTGGATTTGAAACCTTTTCTTCTGTTTCCTCCCTTGGTTGCCATGTGAATAAAATCTTGTGTTGATGCAAAACTCATTGTCTTAGTGATTGGCATGACCAGAAAAACAAGCCTGGCTTGGCAATGATTTTACCAAGAAGATGATGTTGATTAAATGGAAGATTTGTTTTACAACCAAGGGATAGGATCATATTTGCTCTGTATACAATGAATTTGAAAGGGCAAGAAACTGATATCAGAGAAACCAGTGAGGAGGCTACTACAGCAATGATGTGAATCCAATTCACTGTAAATCAGAGAAAGGAGTAGACAGGGCCAGAGAAGAGAAGATACACAGAAAGTCTAGGCAGTGATTTCTCACAGTAAAATCTCACCCATCAGTATTTGGATCTTGTGGAATTCTTACTTACAATTCAAATTTTGGAGCCCCATTCTAAAACTTCAGAATCAGTTTGCACTTATGTGGGGTCCAGAAATCTACATCTTAGAAGTTCCAAGGGTTTTTTTTTTCCTGCACATTAATGTTGATCACTTCTACTTTGGGAGATCGATTTACCAGACTTTGGTGACTAGCTCTCCCTAGCTCTCCAGTTCGAGCAACAACAGGAATGTCATTTGTGTTTTTTATTTGGGCACTAGGGTCCGGGCTGGGACATGTGGCAGCCATCCTGTTTAAGATTCTGTAGAAAGTGACATCAGCTAGACTCTGTTGCCTAAAAGGAAATACATTCTTAACTCCATAAATATGGTCTACATATTTGTAAAAATAGTATTGATGATAATATTCACAGCTACTATTCTCTAAGCATTTAACTATATGCCAGGTATCATGGTAAATTAATATGAATACTTATTTAATCCTCACAATCTTAAGAAATGAATGATATTCTAATGCCTGTTTTACAGATGTAAAAACAGAGGATGAGAGGTTAGTCAACTCGTGAGGGGGTAAAACAGTAAACATTGGAGCTAGGATATAAACTAGACATTCTGCCTCTGGAAGTCTTGCCTTTGATCACTACAAACAGCCCTTCTCCTCCCGCCGCCAGATCATGTGGAAATAACGAATGTGTGCACTTTCCTAGTTCAGTGTCTAGCATTGAGCAGATGAGAAATATCTGCTGAATGAGTACAGAAATAAATACACTCATTAAAGATCGAATTCTTTGCTGTTTGGTAGGGCTCGGATATGGCCCTGCCCGACGGTGGGATCCTATACTGGAGATAGGCACCATCTCCTGGGAACTTCTTCGGTGTCACAGTTTGCACTTACCACAAGCTTCTTCCTGATAGCCTCTAGTTTTTCAGTAGCTGCAGCCAATTCTACATTCGTTTGGGCTAACGCTTGGCGTTTTGGCTCCACATCACAGTAAACCTGAAAATTCATAAAGTAATAAAGATGCAAAGAAGATAAATAATCATTCAATCTTACATAGACTGGAAGCTTTATAATTAAAATCTCTAGTTCACCTAGCAATTTGTTTGTTTTGAGATGGGGTCTTTCTATGTTGTCCAGGCTAGTTTTGAAGGGCTATGTTGCCCAGGTTGGGCTCAAGGGATCCTTCCATCTCAGCCTCCTGAGTAGCTGGGATGACAGGCATGAACCACGGCGCCTGTTCTGTTATTTCTTAGCCATGTACCACCTAAAGGCAGAGCAAAATCCACATAGCCTTCTACGTTCTCTCTGGCCCACTGTTATTTACTTATTTATTCTGAATCTTAGAGTCACAAGTACTAGCCTAAAATGCTATGTAATTCAAACACCATTAAGATACCATAGTTGGAGCCAGGCTTGGTGGCTCAGCCTGTAATCCCAGCATTTTGGGAGGTTGAGGTGAGTGGAATGCCTGAGCCCACGGGTTCAAGTCCAGCCCGGGCAACTTGGCAAGACCTTGCCTCTACAATTAAAAAAAAAAAATTAGCTGGGTGTGGTAGTGCACGCCTGTAGTTACAGCTACTTGGAAGGCTGAGGTAAAAGGATTGCGGAGCCCAGTGGGTTGATGTTGGGGTGGCCATGAGTGTGCCACTGCACTCCAGTCTAGCCTGGGTGACAGAGTGAGACTCCAACTCAAAAAAAAAAAGAAAATGTCATTTGCTAAATTGACTTTTTCTCAGTAATTCCATATTTGAATATAACACAACCCTCTAAGGCAAAAATGAGAATTGTTCAGAATCAAGAGCCATGCCTTGTTCCATTTGTGTATCTGGTACACTGCAAGGTGCTTGGGACATAGTTGGCTGGTAATAAATATTTGACAAATACATGACTACATAAAATGATAATCTATCTGTATCCTGTCCTAAAGTGCCAATTTAAAATTAGACCCCGTACAGGCAGAAATGTATCTGTCATTAAAATACTGAAGCAAAGAAATGGTTATTTCCTAATCTCCCTATATGTATAATAGAGTAGGTGTGAACTTTTGTTTTGAGAACAGGGATTAATTTAATTCGATGGGAATTCAGATTTGTGGTTGTTTCAAGTCAACATGAATTGAATAGTTAAATGTAAATAAATATAAATCATAATGTAATAATTTTCATCTAATTAAATCAAATTAATTAGTGCTGTTTGATCTAAAGTAGCTGTAGTCACTCTATCCTAAAAAAAAAAAGTTTCTGACATTTCAAATATCCTCCTACATATAATTGTTTGCTCTGACATGCCCATGTCTCATTCTTAGAACTGCATACACTTTATCAGAAAATGAAATATTATATCAAATTATTTTACCTTTTCTACTGACCTAGAAATTGATATGTTTGTAACCCTTTGTGATAACACCTGTCAACCTTCAAATTAGGATGGCTACCTCATAGAATTTAATGATGTTGATGACCCAGGCACAGAGTCCAGCTGCTGCAAAAGATTTGGTCCGAATCAGGTTTGGATTAAACTCTGGGTCTTTCAAATACTGTTCATTCACCACTTTTAGACAGTTCTCTGGAATGTGCTCTTTGTCATAGTTAATTAACGCTTGCAAAAAATCATCAACCTGCAAGGCAAAAAGACTTATGCAATGAACCCATTTCGGGCTGCAGAGAAAATTCCAAGATCAAAAGTTAAAATCAGCTTTTAGGACTCACATTACAAAAGCAAAATTGGCAAGCTGCATTTATCCTACTGTTTGACTTTTTCAGTCTTTATAGTGTGAAGTTAGAATTAGCAATGGACACTTTTAAAACCTCTTCTATCCCAGGGTAAAATATTCAGTCTCGGCACAGGAGGTATTCACATTTTGAAGAAAAGAAAAGCAGAAAAGAAAAGGCAAAATACACCAAAAAGTCCCTGGGCTTCACCTTCTTGTACATTAGTAACATTTTTTCCAGCCTAAGAAATCCTTGTAATTTTCTCCCTCCTACACTTGACTACTTTCATAATTTTGCAAATAATTAGCAACCTTCCACCTGATGCTGGCGTTGACTTAGGTATGTCATAACCCCAAGCTAACCTCCAACTTGGCAAACAAAAGTTGTACGTTTAGAGAGCATATAGCAGAATAATGCAGCAACCACGAAGATGATTTCTTTGAACTTGAACTTCTTTTGCTATCAATCATAACCACAGTACTAAAAACAATATGGAAATTGTTGGGATTTTCATCTTGCTGGGCTGGTGGATACCTTTCCCATAAAGACTTTAGCTGCCTTCCAACTTCGGTCTTTGGGTACTCTGCCCCGAGGAGCCAGGAGGACCATCACAGCTGCAGTAACATTGGTGACCGCATTTGGAGGGTTAGGAAAGACTTTCAGCTCAGTGAGGTTGACCTGAGGAAAACAGTTTACATACACAGTCAGGACCAGGGAAGGTCTGGGGAAGTGCTGTGAAATTGGCAAACAGGTCTTCAGTGGCCTCTTACCTGCCCTTATCACACCATTCTAGATTGAGCAGTTCTTTGCCACCCACCCAGAGACTCTACCTTGGGACCCCAGGAGGTTCAGTCCTTGCCGGGGACTTCTTAGATACTCTGGAAACATCAGTGTCTTTTTTGACCTCCAAGAAAAAAAAATCTGGTATACCAGTCCTGCAGACCCCTGCTCACTGAGACCAGGAAATGTGATAAGCATATAGGTCGTAAGATATTTATGAGTTCTATCCTGCTATGTAATACATTTGCATTTTGTTAGGCCCCTCCCAGATACATAATTCCCTAGTTCAATGTCTCTTAGTTTTGTTTTTCTGTCTTAGGTGCACGATTATAAAAAATATCTTCTACTGGGTGCCGTGGCTCATGCCTGTAATCCCATTATTTTGAGAGGCTGAGGTGGGAGGATTGCTTGAGCCCAGGAGCTCAAGACCAGCCTGGGCAACATAGTGGAACTACTTCTCTACAAAAAATCAAAAATTTAACCAGGTGTGGTGGTGTGTGCCTATAGTCCAAGCTACTTAGGAGGCTGACACAGGAGGATCGCTTGAGCCCAGGAGTTGGAGGACGTCGTAAGCCATGATTGTGTCACTGCACTCTAGCCTGTGCAACAGAATGAGACCCTACTCAAAAAATAAAAATAAAAAATAAAAAATAAAAAAAGAAGAAGAAGGAAGGAAGAAATAAAGAAGAAAGAAAAAGAAAGAAAGAAAGAAAGAAAGAAAGAAAGAAAGAAAGAAAGAAAGAAAGAAAGAAAGAAAGAAAGAAAAAGAAAGAAAGGGGAATATCTTCCATTGTACTACAGGGATTCTCAACTGGGAGGGGACAAGATTGACTGAATGTACTTCCCCACTCCTTAATCCCTTCATGGCAGACAACTGACTTACCTGTTTCCCAACAGATGGAATTGATGACATAAATTGTAAGTATTGGGGCAAATATTTGGGGGTAGAAATTAGTAAGTATAAGAAGTACATGTAGGTTCATGATACATGATTTAAAAAACAAAAACCAACAACCAGCTATTTCCTGTGATATTTTATGTACTACATAATAAACCCTTGCTTATAAAACTTTGCCAAATGCTAAATTTTATTCTTCTCCCTTACCATAAACTGCCTATTTATTTGGCAAATGATTGCAAAGAATAAAAAAGGTGTAAAGTAAGAGAAAAATAAAGACTTAAAAAATGTGAGTAATAACTCAGAGCTGGTTAATCAAGATTCTTTCATCATTTGTAAATATACTTAGCTTTATATTTTAAGTGACATTATTTTATTTTGTTTGTGTAAAAAATAATATAGTCAGAGAAAAATTTGCAAATTTATAGAAACACAAAGAAGAAAATAAACATTCCAGTATTTAGAGATAACCAATTCTCCTTTTACTTTTTCCAATCATTTTCTATGCACATGAATGTTCTTACCAAAAAAATTAGTCACATAATATATCCTATTTTATAATCTGCTTTATTCACTTAATATATCATGAGCATTGCTAACTAGTATTCAACAATATCATCTTAACAGCAGCACATTTGAATGTATAATAATCAGCCTTCTATCATGGTATATTTACATTCTTTAAATTTTTTCAGTTTTATGAAAATACTATAAAAAATTTCCACAAGGTAACTCTTTGCTCACAGTCAAAATTATTTTTTTCAAAAAATTCTTAGAAGACGAGTATTTTCTATTTTTTTTTTCTTTTTTTGAAGAATGATGAAAATTTAGATCCTTTACTTTTGAAGTTGAATCTTAAGGACCTCAGGGTTGATGATTTCCTGGGATTCTCCCTAGAAGCTGGGAAGTAGCCCAGGACAAGTTTAACTATTGGTACTTAAAATAACATTGCCCACAGTTTCACTTTCCCTCATAAAATGCTTGTGAGCAACGCAGGCTACTGTTTTTTATGGAAACGTGAATGCTCAGTGAGATTGTTTTACTGAAAGGATAAAGTTCATAGAAATGGTGGGGACCAAACCCAGGTATCCCTGTTCCCATTGTTCTTTCTGAATCTCTCATCAATACTGCTCTTTACATACCAAAGAAAATAAAGAATCCCTCTTCCAGCTTTTAAAAGCGATATAGACTATGAAAAACTGGATCTGGTCCCCTCCAGTTGCCTTTCATAGGAGTATAAATCTCATAGTGTTGGATGGCTTCAGGATGGGACCGCTTACTGGGGTGCGGTAGGACTGAGTCCTGGAAGGGAAAGGAAGTTGAACTACGATGATGACCTCAAAGGTTTGTTTCAACATTAATATTTGATGGGCCTTTCTTTCCTTTCCTTTTATTTGCTTATTTATTTATTTATTGAGTTGGAGTCTCACCCTGTCGCTATTTATTTATTTACTTATTGAGTTGGAGTCTCACTCTGTCGCCCAGGCTGGAGTGGAGTGGCATGCTCACAGCCACTGCAGCCTCGAGCTGCTGAGCTTAAACGATCCTTCCGCCTCAGCCTTCCAAGTAGCTGGAATTACAAGCACGTGCCACCATGTGTGGCTAATTTTTTGATTTATTGTAGAGATGAGGTCTCGCTAAGTTGCCCAGGCTGATCTTGATCCCGTGGGCTCAGACAATTCTCTCACCTCGGCCTCCCAAAGTGCTGGGATTATAGGTATGAGCCACCATGTCTTTCCTTTTAAAAAAAACTTTTGGAATGCATAAGCTATACTCTCAGCTCAGTTACTCAAACTCTAATAGCCTCTGAGTACTATTTTGATGAACGAGGAAGAACCAAGAAATCGCCTTTACCCTGTTGAGTGTATTGAGTGCAGCTGAAGCAGCCACCAGCGCGGGCTCAGCCTTGAGTAGGTCGGCCTCACATTCTCTTTGTTTTTGGGACACTTCAGTCTGGATGGCTGTCACCTAATTAAAGAGAAAAAGCACACAAACCCACATATGAAAATTATTATGTTAGATATCTTTATCAAAAATTGTAGGTTGGCTCAGACGCACTGTTAAATAATTCACTTCTCTATACGTGGAACAGGTGAGAAATTTGTTGTAAAAACAATTTCCCTTCAGGCGTCGTAGGCGTGCAAAGTTTTGTAAATGTACAAAATACACAATGACAAATTCCACCACAAATAAAGTATCAAAATGTTCCTAAAGGCTTTAATTATAAGGTGTCACTAATAACAAAAGCAAGATTGAGTGAGTCTCCTATTCTTCGATTTTCTTTTTCAGAGAGTCCTGGTCAAGTAGAAATTCAAGCTGGTTCAGTTACCTAGGCCACGAAATACTCCTGCTAGAATTCTCTGTCTAAGCTTTGTTAACATTTGCTTAGAAACCATGTTGGCTATTCCTTAAGAACAGATTTGAAGCTCTTTTGTTCAACTGGTTAGAAGATACTCTAGTCTGGATATCTTGGATTGAACGCTTAACTATAGAATTTTAATGAAGTCGCATCACTGCTTGCTCCAAGGATATGGCAAGAAACCACAGATATGGTAAGGGCCCAGATCTGTCTTCAGTAACAGAGCAGTTTGATGCCCATCCTACTATTGTGGGCCCAGTGGTACCTCTTCCCTGTCCAAAGAGGATGCTGCATCAGCCTCTTGACATGGAATATAATACAGATAGTGGGAAACCATGCTGGGAAACTTGAACTAAACCAAAATGTGATGTTGGGTTTTTAAAAAATCTTCCTCTTCATAGGATACCTATAGAATTTGAATGACCAAGAAGATGGAATTTTTAGTCCTCAGCAGAAATTTGAGTTTCAAAGCTGTGGCACTGGGTACCAGGATCTGGTCACTATGGGGTATGGTTCCTATGGTGATGGTGATTGTGGAATATAAAGTGTGAACAAAAGTGTATTTCTTCAGATGTGTTTGGAATGAACAGGTTTAACTATACCATAAAATTAAACACTGCTCACAACAAATTATGTTGTCTACTGCAGCCTTATTAGCAGTAATTACCCTTCTCCTGATTAACCATTATTTTGCTGTATACTGCACCTTTTATGAACATAATTGGTTCGGGGTAGATATGTGGCCTCCTGCTAATATGCACACAGCTACCGTTAATGTAAATAAGAAAACCCTGCATGCTTAATGAGAACTACTCCAAAACTGCAGCCCTCAACACTGCCAGGAATGGACCACAAAAATTCTAAGAATACTGTATTTTCAGGGAGCTAAAGAACACTGCTACAGATGAAAGAGAGTGTATGTGAGTGAGTGAGTTATTACCTCAGGACTATTTATTTTCCATAAGGATATAATGAATCTATAAATGCTATTTGTTACCATTTATAATAGCATCATTTAAAAATCATTTTACATTGGTCATAGATTTTTAGTTCTAGATAAAACGTCAAAGAGTATTTCTTTTAAGTGCTATTTCTATGAGTTTGGGAGTTACTGTTCTGCTCCTTCTGACTCCTTGATTGTTGATGGAGTTTTTCCTTTGGATAATTTTGATAAACAAAGTGATCCTGAACAATAAATAAAAACCCACAAGTACAAGGGAAGAAAATTTTCTCAGTTGGTCAAGTTATTTCTCACTCCCAATACCATTCTCCCAATACTAGAGGAAGGATGATTCTGTATATCTCAGTGACTTGGTAAGCCAAGTGTGCAATTTCTCCTGCATGATGGCTCCTGGGTCATAGTCAGCAAGGGTCAACCTAGAGAAGAGAGAAGAGGAATGTGTGTTTTCCCTCTACACTGTATGTTAAAGCAGGGGTTGGGAGATAGATAGTCCCACCCTTGAGTCCACCAGAAATTCTCTGCCCTCTGCTACAGTCAACAGTTCCTTGCAAATGTTCATAACATTCAGCAGTGATCACAGGGAGAGAATCAAGTCCCAATAACTGCTTGTTATGCACTAAATTGTGTCCACCCAAAATTCATATGTGAAAGCCCTAAACCTGGTACCTCAGAACATGACAATTTCGAGACAGGGTTTTTAAGAGGTGACTGAGCTAAAATGAGGTCATTAGGGTGGATCCTAATTCAATCTGCCTGTGGTATTATAAGAGGAGGAAGTTTGGACACATAAAAAAGATATCAGGAAAGGCTGCCCACAGGAAAGACCACGTGAGGACAGCAAGAAGGCAATCATCTGTAAGCCCCGGAAAGAGGCCTCAAACTTGCCAACACCTTGATCTTGGACTTCCCGCCTCCAGAACTCTGAGAAAATAAATTTCTGTTTTTAAGCCACCTGGTCTGTGGTATTTTGTTATGGAAGCCTCAGCAAACTGATAATGCTGCTCTTACCTGCCGTTAGATTATAAGAAATTCCTGATGATCCTCCAGAACTCCTACCTAGCCACATTTAGAAAAGAAACACACACAAAAACTGACAGTCACTCAAAATCAAGGCGGGTCTTCAGCTTTCAAAGGGATTCTTATCAGCACTTCAATTTAGAAGGCACTCCCACTCATGAGGATTACAGTCCCCTCAAGGGAGGAAGCAGTTTGAATGTGATTAGAGGATTCTTAGGATTTGGAGCTGGTAAGTCAGAGACGAGGAACTAATTTTCATAGGCTTCACAATGCTTGTGTTACTCACAGCCACTGCTGACAATGCCAGTAGTTAAATGGTCCTTGATTATTTTAAAAATTTAAAGCAATGATTTCCAGCTGCTTCTCCACAGGGGTTGTCAAGAGGCACAGCTAGGCAATCTCCAGCCCCCACACTTGTTTAGTCATATCAAACATGACAATGTACTTTGTGAGTTATGCAGCATCACTGTTAAATTCCTGCTCATGTATGAAACCTTGAGATCCCCATTTCATAGAAATTGTCCATATTCAACCCCTTCAATAAGGTGCAGCATGGTATCTAGCACATTGCTGAATATACAACAAATGTGAGCCCATGGCATGGACTCGGGTTAATTTTGAGATTCTGCCCACTTTGATTACAAATATCATTTTCTCATGGCCATCCAATTTTCAGTAGTTCCTTTTACCATCACAGCTCTACGTGATTTTGATCAGAGCACTTATTATCAACTCAAAAGATCCTGTTTCTCAACGTGTTCCTTGTTCCTGTCAGTCTTTTCCATTACAATGTAATTTATATGAGGGCATGTTGCTTGTCAAATATCCTAATAGCCTAGAAAAAAGGCAGGTAAAAAATCAGGTGTTCAATTATAATTTGTTATGTATAATTAAATTCGGCTCCATGGATAAAATGAAAATATTTAGAAATATTTTAATTTCTTGGTAAGGACTAAACATAGAAAAAATAGTATGTGTTTTTGTGTTTGAAGAACTTCACTAAACAATCTGTCAGGTGAGTTCAAATTGGCTAAAATCTCCCCTTCTATGTGGATCTGTCTAAGGAACTCACATGCAAAAATGCAAAAATAACTCTAGAGTACTTGTTATACTTTAAGATCTCCAAAAGTTATCTGTTGTGACAGATTATGATATCATAATTACTAGAACATCACACGTTTGTGTAATGACTGAAAAATAGTTCCTGGGTGAAATTAGCTTATAGTCGGGATATTATGTGTGATACTTAATTACTGAATATCATAATATATTTTAAAGGACACTCCTCACTTATCTGAAAAATCAGTGGAAACATTTATTACCAGAATTAGGAATTATCTACTCACTGGCCATGCTAAAAGTGCCTTGTGAAGTTGAAGAATTTCAAACATGCCATATTTTATTTCTTAAAGCTGTTTTTTTTTGAAGTTTTAATTTTCTTTTTTTCTGTATTTTTAAAAATGTATGTTATTTTAAAGATGTGTGATACAGTTCAGGATTAGGTATACAAGTGGACATGGTATGGGTAAAATTTGAGCCACCCTTTGGTCCCTACCTTGCCTGGTAGAGTTTTAATTTTCAATTTACTTCTCTTTAGTTGTGTTCAAGATAAAGAAAATCATGTCAATACACATCAGTAAAGAAAGAAAAAATAGGCTGCCAGGCAAGATGGTGACGGGACAGTTTGGACTGTGAGAGTCTCTGCAAAAGCAAGTGTCCATAAAGGTTCTTTGCATGAGTGGGTGTGTGCCAGTGGGTGAGTGAAAGTTTGTCTGAGGGGAGACTCAGGTTCATGCACCCAGGGCTCTCTGGAGGTTACTGCAACCCACCGCCACCCTGAGATTGGAGCCTCTGGTGCACAAGATCATCTGTTGTTCTCGGGGCTCTCTTGAGAGAAGGCAGCAGAGAACAGCTGCCCCTCACCACCTGAGACCCAGCCCACACCATCACCTGCAGCAGCAGTCCGGGCACAAGCAGGAGGAACAATGGAGAAGGCAGGTCATGGAAATCTGGAATAAAGCTCCAATGCCAGTGATGAGATGCTGATGAGTGCCATCTTCTCAGTCCTGGGACCAGGCAGAGACTTGCATTGTCCCTCCCAGCTCTGCCCAGCCTCCATCTTGGTACCCAGAGATTAATCTCTCATCAGATTTGGAGAAACAGACATCCCTCCCCCATGCTCTTGCAATAGGCAAGGACATGTCCAATCTGAGTGGGAGACTTGACAGCAGCAGTGAGTAGGGTGAGTCTGGATCTGATCCATCCTCCTCCCACAGTAGTCTGTGGGGCATCTGACCCACAATGAGAGCAACCCTACCTGCCTGTGCTGAGAGAAGAGGGGAGGGGCTGGATACCAGAGCTGCTCCCTAAGATGGAGGTGGCAGCAAGAACCTGGAGTTACAGAAATGGCCAAAGAGTGAGGAGTTTTTTTTCTTCTTGTTTGTTTTTTGTTTTAGTTTTGCTTTTTTTCTTCTCTTTCTTTCTGTTTTTGTTAATGTTTTTGCACTTGCTTTGTTTCTGTTATTTTAGTGGTTTTTTTTTTTTTAGATTTTCTGTTTGTGTATAGGTATTTTTAAAGGAGAGTACACCAACAGGGCATCTTTGTTTGTTTGTATGACTGTCTGTATGTTT